CTAAGATAACCTTGATGCGAGAGTGCGATTACCATGGACAAGAACTACATCCACCAATAATCTGATTTAGATTATTAAAAAAGGGAAGAGATTACGCTGCAGTTTTATTTTAAGCTAAAGTTTGATCCTGCAAGTTCATGGTATCTTCTTTACTAGCAAGGACAAGCTTAGGGTAAACTATTCTTTTCCAAACCGGTCTTCACATTTATTATATCCATTAACTTAAGGAACTTCTCCAGCCCTTCTATGATACTACTCAGCGGTGTAGCTTTTCTCATTTCTGAGTCAATATTCAGAATGTATAGGATAGTTGGTGGAAGAGATTTACGAAGGAAAAAATTATAATTTGATTGGCTCTTCAGCATAGTTTATATAACCCAATGCACCGATTTCTTAAGGCACTAAGTATAGATAAATTCAGTAGTAAAATTTATAAATTAGAAATAGCTACTTACGCGATCTAGAAAAGTTGGAAGCTTTCTGAATAGACAATGAATTCGAGGAGAGACAGCGTGAAGTTGTGCACACTTCGAGAGGTAAGGATGATCTAATCGAGCCCAACTCCCTAGTTGATCGAGGCGAGCCAAACCCTTTTTGATCAATGAGGCATTCGCCAAATTTATGTTTGTTTACCATGTCACAATTATCTGGCAAAGTGAATGAATTCGAGGTGGCGTAGCTGTCAATAGTATTAGCAACTTGAAGGGCTTCAATTTTGGGGATTGTTGAAGAGGTTCTTGATACAATTACTCCACTGCTAGCAGAGCTGATATTGGAACTGGAAAGCAAACGACTCGTAATCAGTACATAGAAGTAAAGGAAAAATGAGGTGTTAATCGTAATGAGGAATGTCCAAGATGACACTTATAGGACAATCAAAGATGAAAAGAAATGACTTCACTGGAGGAATAATATGTAAAAAAGCTAAGTGCAGAATAATTAGGCCTTGTAGAATAGATAAGACTGTACTCTTGAAGAATTATTGTTATATCTAGTTTTAAGTGGGCATCCAATCCCAAAGCAAAATGATTATTTATCAATTACTTAAAAAATAAATCAATTAAGACACACTGTTTGTTGTGCATAGCGAAGTGCATCCTTATTTGTAGTCCATTGTCCTTTCACCATAGGATCGGTAATATTTCATATGAAAAGATCTACATAGTAAAGAGAAATTTAAACTGATAACAAATTCGGACACACTCTACGATCTCTAGCATAGTCTCGTTGGGCTTGGGAGTTGCTGGAGGAGATATGTGTCTACAACTGAGGAGATCAAGGGAATGTCTGGCCCAGAGATTTTCGTGAAAGGTTGGTACATGGTTGACCGGAATCTGTGAATGAGGCATACAATTCATTAGTGTGAACTTGGCATCAGTAGATTCATTAAAATCCAGAATGCGGGAATGAGCTCCTCTACTTTCTTCTACTTCACCTCCCTCATCAGAGTAGTCACTAAATTTTGATGAAGCAGATGAAAAAACCTGGCGAGGCGTTCTAGTCAGAATCGCAGTTCCCGTGACGCAAGGAGAAATATGGACATATTGGCTCTGG